TTTGGGAGGTGGTTAGGTTTAGAATGAGATCATGAAGGTGGAGCTGCATGATGGGGTTAGTGACCTTACAAGGAGAGGAAGAGACACCAGAGAGCTCTCTCTCCATCATATGAGAAGGTGGTCATCCACAAGCCAGGAAAAGAGTCTCCCAGAACTGAACCTGTCCGCATCTTGCTCTTAGACTTCCCAGCCTCCGGAACTGCGAGAAAAAAACGTCTGCTGTTTAAGCCACCGGTCTGTAGTGTTTAGTTGGAGCAGCCCGAGCTGACCAAGACGTATCCACTAAGCCTCTAGGCCTTCCTCCCCCATCCCGCTACCACTGCCCTGCTTCAGGCCCTTGTCACTGCCTGGACTGTGACAAAAGCCTCCTCTCTGAGTCTAATCACTCACCTTTACAAACTATCCCTCAAGCTGAGACAGGAATTCCCTCCCTGAAATACGGGCCTGACGATGTCATTCCTCTGCTCAAAACCAAAATTGAGATTTCCCAAAGGCTGTTCCACAGGACTCTTGTTCCATGGGATGTTAACAGCTGACAGGACAAAATTTTTAAAAACAGGGAGGGCAATGCCCGAATAAGTTTGACTTATTGAGAAACGTGGGGTTAAACAAAGTTCACAGGTTCCTTTACTGTAGAATTCATTGGAGTTCTTCGTATGTTAATGGACAGTTTTTGAATCTCCAAGAAAGAAGTTACAAGTGCATTATTTCTCAAATTTATTTGACCCTAGAAGCCTTTTTTTTGTGGAGAGGACACAAGATGGTAGAGACCTAGGTCCCCAGGGAAGCAGTCCTGCCAGAAACACCCAATGGTGATGGACTATTGGGTGTGTGAGAAATAAACTTTGCTGTGTTCAGCCACTTAAACTTCAGGGCTGTGTGTTGTGGCAGTTAGCCCACGTTGCCTGGTGCGAATGCATGCAGGTTTTTAAGTTATCTGCCAAAGAATAGATTATCTTTTTCAGCCTGAGAAGTTTTCATCACAAACAATAATAGGCCACACGGATTGCAGCCTTATTAAGCGCCAGGTACTGTGATAAGCACTTTGCAAACATTATCTCATTTAATCCTCTTGACCACCCAGTAGGGTAAATACTGTCATTGTCCCATTTCACAGATGAAGAAAGTAAAGATTACAGAGGTTAATGACTTGGAGGTCCAGGTCACTTGGCTTCTGGATTCTTGATCTTAATCACAGTGAAGTCCTGCCTCCCAAGCCCAGGTTATGAGGTGAGAAAAGCCGGGTTTCAGGTTCATTGTGTTAGTTGCCTAGACCAACAGAACATCTAGATGACTGACTGACTTCCAGTCTTTTTATTTAGACCGATGGTTCTCAATCAGGGGTGATTTTGCTTCCCCACGGGACGTTTGACAATATCTAGAGACATTTTTGGTTGTCACAACTAGAGAGGTGCTACTGGAATCTAGTTGGTAGAGGCCATGGATGCTGCTAAAACATCATATAATGTACAGGACAGCCCCGCACAAGAAAGAACTATCTGGCCCAAAATGTCTTAGTGCCAAGGTTGAGAAACCCTAACATAGATATCTCATATATATTTTTCAGAGAGCCCAAAATGTTCAGAATAAGCCCACACTCTTGCTTGGAATAAGAAGCACGCTTGAAAACTCTGCTTTCTGCTTTAATACTTGAAAGAGCAGAAAAAGCAGTAGCCAACAAATGACTTTGGTGTTCAACGGCCAAGGCTCATTGTGGGAGGGAGTCTGGCCCAAAGAAGACTGGCCACGGAGAAAGAATTTGGTTTGGTAAGACCTCAGGAACAGTATATGGTGGCAGAATAGAAATTCTCTTGAAAGAATGTCAAACCTTTATGGTTTCCTAGTAACATAATTTTCCTGAGATTTCTCTTATATTTGAATCCACAGCATCACTACACCTATTTTAAATCAAGGCAACAAAGGAAATTAAAAAAAAAAAGTGACATAATAGATTAAGAGCTTCTTGAGGAAGGAGGGGAAACTAAAAGACATCTGGTCCACCCTTCTGGTGTATGATGCCCCTGTTTCAACATCATGATTGCAGAGCGGGCCTGTCACCATTACAAAAATCCTGTTCCAATTCCAGAATATTCTGTCAGAAACTTCTCCTTTCCAGAGGCAGAAATCTGCATATCTAAACTCTCTGCCTGTTGCCTCTGGTTCAACCCATTGTTGGAGGCTGGGGTTGGAGGGAATGGGTACAGACAGGACAAGAGGGGATGGAAAGTGTCCTTCCATGAAAGCTTCCTGGGTCCCAGGTGCTGTGCTCGGTGCTCCTCGCGCATTATTTCTAATCCTCCAACAATTTCTCATAGCAACCTAAGGTTGGTGATCATGCACAGCCTCCCGCCCCTGCCTGCTGTCTCTTTTCCAGATGAAACATCATGAGATCTATTTTCACACGGAAACATTGCTTTGGCAGTCTGTTCGTTCATTCATTCGTTCGTTCATTCATTTATGCAGCACATATTCACTGAGCATCCACAATGTGCCAGATATTGGGGACACAATGGCAGGCAGGGTGGCTTCTCAGGACAGCAGGACTACCATATACTGTCGACAAGGGAAACCCTCAGTTTGGGTGGCTATTATTATTATCTGCAGCAAAAAGTTCCCAGGCCAGCACCCTAGACCGTAGCCTGGGAAGTCAGGAACCCATCCCAGAGGAAGTGCTGTCTAACTGGGAGGATAAGCTGAGACACAGAGCGCTTCACCAGGTGATGGGGATGGAGGGTGTTATAGGGAGATGGAGTAGCCTGTGTGAATACCACGAGCGCATTCAGGCACTGAAAACAGGTCCTCACGGCTGGAATGAAGAGCCAGGATCTGGGAGAGGTGAGAGTGATGCTGGAGACATGGGCCCACACAGTGGAGGGCCCTGCCGGTCGTGTAAAGGATTGGGGTCTTTAGTCAAAGGACAGCAAGGATCGCTGGAGGTGGGACAACGAGATCAGATTCAACTCTCAGAAAGCCAGTCTTGAAGGCTGTGTGGAGAATGGATCAGAAGGAGCAGAGGGGTCAGGGAGTCCAGGTGGGAGGCCATACAGTCATCCTGTGTCCCACGATGGGGTCAGTGGCAGTGGGGATTGAGAGAAGAACTGTGGTGGGAGGGGTTGGGGGACTTTAGCCATTGCCCATAATCTTCATCAACTCACCCCCAAAAGTTACTCCAAGGAAACAGATAATCAGAGTTAAAATGGGGCGATGGCTATGCACCTGCAGCTAGGAAATAAGTCGCCAGTCCCATCCCCCTTCCACCCGCAGATTATCCCCAGATTATTCTGCATCCAGCCTGGAGGAATGGGGATATTTAAGCTAGGCAGGACTTGGTATTTGGACAGGGGACCCAAAGAGGATGCCTTTGATGTCTGGCTTGAGCGGCGGGAAGATGATGGAGCCTCTCAGGATTCATGAGGAGCGTGTTTCACGGGGAGGAGGGATCCACTGGGACCAGGTGGAAGTGGGGGCACCTTCAAGGGGTCCACATGCAAGGAGAAGAATTTGGAGCCCCAGGAGAATTGGGGCGTGAGAGAAGACAGAGGACAAAGGGGTGAGCCTGATGACAGAGTGAACTCGCCCTTGATCTCCATGAAATCTCCAGGATGTCTGCAAAACTCACAAAATGCTTACGGTGACGGGTGTCATGTGGAAACTGGAGACTGGCTGAGCTCTGCAACAGGGTGGATGGAAGAGAAAATGGGACAGACGGGCCAGAAGCTGAGGGGACCACAAGACTGTCACATCCCAGGGCTTCATCAGGCTCTGGAAACAGGTAGGATGGCAAGGAGGGTGAGATGTCTAGAGAAGTCCACCTAGAATGCAAGAGAGGGAGATCCCTAATTCACATCTGAGTTATGTACATCCGGGCCTTTGGTACGAGAGCTCATTTGCAGAAGGAGCTCCCTTGCATTACCATCATCCCCTCAAAAAAAGTTCGAAAACAATGTCATCAAAGGGAATAAACCCCTAAAGGTGGAATTTGAGGTACTATAACAGGTTATCGGGGCCAAACTTGGTGGCAGAGGGAGCATTTTGGCACCTTCCAAACCACACTCCCCGCCGGCAGCTGACTCCCTTGTGCCCCACAGGTGCCACCTGAAGCAGGGATCTCCCCACAGCGCCCTCTGGGGACGGCATGACCCTCTCCGGGCTGGTCAGGAGCCTCACCACCAATCCCTGAGGAAGTGGGAGACCTGAATGAAGAGTAACAGAAAACAAATTATTCTAAAATGTCTCTAAACGACCTGAGGGAAGTTGCGTACAATTCTATGTTTTTGCCATTACTCCTGGAAATGGGAGGTCGACTTTCCCTATGAGTTTTACATCTGGAGACTGAACGAAACCAGACTTAAGCAATTGCACAGAAACGTCATAATCTCCTGGAAATCTCTTGAAAAACTACGTGATGTAAACGTGGAAATTTTTCAAAAAAAAAAAAAACCAGTTCACTGAAAAATAATTTGCAGTTCAAATGTTACACACAAAAAAATTTTACATCCTGTACAATTTTCCTTTCAGGCTCATCTTGTTGAAATAGCATTGCCTTTATTTAATTTTTGTTTTGTTTTGTTTTTAAGCACAAAGCTAAGCAAGAAGCAGCCTGTGTTCTGCCCACTAGTAGAGGTTTGGGTACTTGTCTTGCACACAGCCCACCTCCCCCCACCCAAGTCTAGCTCACTGACTCCTTCAGACTGCGAGGGTGCCATTTCTCACTGTGTCCTCCACAGGCCTGACACGGTACCACACAGACAAGAACCTGCAGATCTGAAGGGAATTGTGGGGAAGACAGCAGCATGGCCTGTTCCTCAGGAAAACAGGGTCATGGTGCAGCCATCTCAAGAAGTCACTTGGCCCTCTGTTCTGGGAGCCCCTTGACAGCAGGGACAAGGCCATAATTAGTGTTGTGTCCCCAGTCCTTGGTACCCAGAAGGCACTGAGCGAATGTTTGATGTAAGAGGCCGGGCATTAGGGTCAGGAAAAAGAATAATTGTACACCAGGGGAAATTTTACAAATTTTTTTCTCTTTGCAATCAGAGAATTCTGGACCAGAAGAGCAGCATCCTTTTGGATGCTGGCATAGCAGATCTGTCACGGGTGAGGGATGGCAGGAGAGTTTCCAGGATCTTCATTTTTGGTGGGTGAATGATGCAGGCAAGATGCAGAGCTCAGCTCCTCCATGTCTGCAGCCGCAGAGCTGTCCTGTTAGAAGCCTCCGTTCAGAACCTCTTTCTGAACACATTCAACTCTTACCATTTTTTCTGGGAAGAGTCCTGGGGAAAGACAGATTTGAGTTTCAAGCAAAACTTCACCATTTAACAGCTGTGTGACCTTGGGCAAATGACTTAGCCTTTCTGAGCCTTCATATCCCCATCTGCAAAATGCCTCTCTCATTGGGAAATCTTGACACGTGTAGAGCACAGTGTCTAGCACATACTAAGCACTTCATGAATTTCCCAAGGGCGGGTGAGGCTCACCCAGGGTGGGCTCTGGCCAAAAATGTGAGGCAGGAAGTGTCTGGCCACCAGCATTCTCATAGCCCCTTTTCCCTGCAGTGATTCCATGCAAACAAGCCCCACCTCAGGAATGGGGATGGGGGTGGAGATTGGCTGTGGACGTGGTGGGGTGCAGAAGCTGGGACACAGCAGGGCTGGGGCTAAGGGGAATCAACCTTCAAGGTGGCCTGCTCCCACCCAGGTGTCAGGGGTGGGGGATAGGGGGTGGCCAAGTGAAGGCTATGGGGCCATCCCAGGGAAGGCCCCTACAGGATCCTGGAGAGGGACGGTACTTGCTGATACAGAGTGGAGGGACAGGGTTACAGCCCCAGGGGAATTGGCAGTCAGTTTTCAAGGCCTCGTCCAGGCAAGCTGCGGCTCTGGATGGAGCTTCCTGGCCCTCTGGGAGAGAGGCTGCAGTGTGACGAGTGCTCCTTTACCAGGTTCACTCCAGGCCTTCCAGGCACTCAGACTAGGAATCAGGAGTCACTGCTCCTGCCCAACCCTCCCCACCCCCCCCACCCCCCCCCCCCCCCCCCCCCCCCCCCCCCCCCCCCCCCCCCCCCCCCCCCCCCCCCCCCCCCCCTGCTGGTCCTCCAGCACACCCTTCACCCCAGCTGCTCCTTCTGCCCACAATGCCTCTCCCTATGTCACTCGCCCACCGTGTACAGCTTCTGCCCAGCTGTCACCTCATCCAAGAGAATTTCCCTGTCTGCCATGCAAATATCACACACATCCTTCCCCATCCCCGTCACTCTCCAGCCCCCTTATTTTCTCCTCAGCACATATCACCATCTGCCCTGTGATACACTTACTGGTGAACTGTTTGTCTGTCTCCTACATTGTAACGCATGCTCCATGAGGCAGGGACTGTGTTCACTCCAGCATCCCCAGAGTCTAGCCAAATGCCTGAGCACATAGCTGCTCAATAAAAAAATTGAATAAATGAATGAATGAATAAGTGAGTGAGCAAACAAGTAAATTGCCAAACCCCATCTGCTGGTAGGGGAAGGACACTAATGTTCTGAATTGGCTCCAGAACTGGCCAAGACTGAGTCAGGACCTCATCAAGGTCCTATGGACTGGTTGCCAGTGTATTGGGAATGGGAAGTGGGGCTGAGTGTAGAGAAGGTAGCAGCTCACCTGAGGGCTCCCACATACCTGCCATAAGCATCCATCCAGGGATATTTTTATTAGGAGACTCTTGTACACCAAAAACTTCCTTTTGATTCAGTGGCGTGAATCCCTGATGATGGCACCATGGTCAGCAGGGGAGAAGGTGTTGAGCTGTTTGGCTCACCCAGATGGCACCCCTTAAGTCACTTCATGCTTGCTTATATGGCCACCTCCAACAGCAACCAAAGGTCATTTATGCAGACAAGTCATTAGAGAAATTTGAGAATTTAAGTCATAGTCTCAGCGGCATCACCCAGATAAATGACAGCTTGTGGCTAGAGCTTGGATGGAGTTCTTGCCCACAGGTCAGGGTTTCTTCTCTCTGGTGCTTAAAATCACTGTCTGGCAAAGGATGCAACAAGCAGGGTATCATTACTGTAACAATTCATGAGACAAAACACAAGAATGTCCAAACTCCACCCAGAAGCCCACGGTCACGGTGCTTGCCCAATCTGCTCAGGGCTGAATCCATTGAGAGGAATTATTTTGGTACCAAGAACACATTTCTCCAGTTCCTGTCCATATGTGGGGAGAAATGGCAAATGCCTCTCCGGGTGACAGCGTCCAGAAACAAGCAGCCTCTCACCCGGTGAGTGTGACAGAAACCTCACCCACAGCCATGGCTGACATCTGAGAGGTTTTCCGGGCAGCCTCCTTGAAGAGGTAAGGATATTTTCCAGAGGAGGGTGGGGCACGGTGGTGATAATACAGAAAGGGGAAAAGAAAACAAAACTCCCCATTCTGAAAGAGTGAGCTCAGAAAGCAGTGGTTGTGTAAGAGGTTGTCCTGGCAGGCGTGTCACTGCTCCCTTTCTTGCAGCTCAGCCTTCCCTGCCGGCTGCACCCCAGGGCACTGAATCCCTCCCTGGCCGTAACTTGTTACAACAAAACCTCACTCTCATGAAAGAGATGCATCTGCACAGTGGGCACTGGAACAGGATTTGATCTATGCCTGGGAAGGCATTCTAATTTACGTGGGCCTCAAAGTTGTCATCAATACCCACCACAACCGGAAAGTGAATGGAGCTTGAATCTCAGGTCTCCCACTAGCTGTGTGACCCTGGACAAGCTTATTAACTTCTCTGAGCCTCAGTTTCTTCATCGCAAAATAAGATAACTTTATGCCCATGTGGTTGTTTTATCAGGATTAAACATGACTAAATAAAATTATGTACATAAAGGATCTAGAAAATGCCTGGGGGTGCTCTATAAATATTACTTTCCCTGTCTAAGTGCCTCATTATTTTGTTTACTAAATGATATATTACTTTGTAGTGGATTATTATTTCTTTTAACTTCTGGTCTAGGCTGCCCGTTTTAGCTTCTTGTATTTTTGTTTTAGAGATCGTAGAGTGTGTTTGGTTTTTGGTTATAGTAAAGCTATACGTTGGAACTAGTTCAGTCTAGTAACACTCCCAAATACTAGAGTGATTTGAGGGACATCCTTCTCCCATTAATTCATTTATACTCCACCTTGTTCCAAAAGTATTTTTAGGGGACTTCCAAAAATAAATACAGCAGGACACAAAAAGATAAGATTAGTTGTTCCAAGTTGGTCACAAAGTTGGTTCTGAGCTTCCCAGAAGCCAAAGTAAAGAGGGAAAGCTGAGCAATGATAAGATTCCCAGTGTTTGCAAGATACCAGTTGCTTCCAGGAAACACAGAATTTCCTGCATTGAGCTCTAAGTGAACTCTGTGCCCTCCTTAACAGTATCTCTGCAGAATAGCTGCCTCTGAGCCTGCCTGTTGGTACAAAACAGGGCACCACTCCTGAGGGCTGCTCAAGAAAGATCCAGGCAAGGCAGGTTTCTGTTGGTCTGCCTTGATCCAGGGGTGAGATTTTACCCAGAGAGAAATCAATGAAACGTCCATCTGTTCCAGTTACTATAGATACATAACAAACTACCCCAAAACATAGTAACTCACAACTACCATTTTATTTTGCTCCCCATTTTGTGGGCCAGGAATTTGGATAGGGTACAAGGATAGCTCACTTCTGCTCCGTGATGTTGGGGGCTCACCTAGGGTCAACTCAAAAGCTGAAATATGGAGGCATCCTCACCTACGTGTCCGGTGGTTGATCTGGCTGTCGGCTGGGACAGGAGCTCTCGTCCACAGCCTCTCCACGTGGCAGGGGCTTCCTCAATGCGTGGAGGCCTCAGTGGTGGTTGGAATTCTTATGTGGCAGCTCAGGGCTTCGAAGGTGACAGACAGAAGCTGTATAGTCTTTTCTGGGCTAGCCTCAGAAGTTATGCAAAGTCCCTTTCACTGCATTGGGTTGGTTACAAGCAAGTCAGAAGCCCACCCAGATTGTGGGGAGAGGACACAGACCCCACTTCTTGACAGGAGGCCTGTCAAGGTACCCCTGTGGAAGAGCATGTGGATGGGAGATAGTGTTGCTGCCATCTTTGTAAAATACAATCAGCTACAACATCCTTTAGGCAATGAAACATAAAAACCATATCCTGTAACCAAGCTTTTGATAAGAAATGAGTAGATCTAAAGGGCTTAAAGGGTGCCTTTCTAGTGCCAAACAGCAGGTGAGGAGCTCTTGGCTTGGTGTACAAATAGGTATACAGCAAGGTTGAGAGTCACAGTAACCATATGCTGAATGGATCAACAGATCTGGATCCCCATGTGTATTATTCTGCTCAGGCTGCCCTAACAAAATACCATAGACTGGGTGGCTTAGACAACTGGAAGTCATTTTCTCACAGGGATAGATGCTGGAAGTCTGAGATCAAGGTGCCAGCATGGTCAGATTCTGGTGAGGCCTCTCCCCTTGGGCTGCAGATGGCCAATCTTCCCACTGGGTGCTCACATGATCTGTTCTTTGTGTGAACACAGGAGGAGAGAGAGAGGAGGGAGGGAGAGAGAGAGCTCTCTGGCGTCTCTTCTTATAAGGGCACTAATCCCATCATAAAGGCCCCATCCTCATGCCTCATCTAACCCAAATCATCTCCCAAAGGCCCCATCTCCAAACACCATCACATTGGGGGTTAGGGTTTCAACACATGAATTTGAGGGGGACACAAACATTCGGTCCATAATATCACAGTTACAGACATGCCAGCACTCAATGGAAAATGACATCAATTCCTGAATATTTCCAAATATCTGGAGTCTTTAATCAAGAAGACAAATCACCCACACACGTGAATTTTCCACTTTCTTTCCAACTTAGTCTTATAGTTAACACTCAAGCCAGAGACTGTGACATAGATATAAATAGACCCAGAGCATCATTATATATAATTTGGAAAGGATTTCACTGGTGTACATCTGTAAGCAGCTCAGGAACACTTTCAAGCTGTGTTTACATGATATCAAACATCTGGATGACAACTGAAAAAAATAATCAATTTGGATTGGAAACAAAACAGAAGTACAAATCTCAGTGTGCTGGCCCTTGGAATACTAAATGCAGAGCCGATCCCCATACCCCAAGAATGAGATAATGGTGCATAATGGTGCACCAATGAAGTGGTCGAGGGGAGAAGGGGGCTTCCATGGGAAGGCAGGCTTTAAAAAAAAGAACTCCATTATGCAAATGGAGGATGGGAAGGGAGGAAATCAAAGACTATGAAAAACATGAAGAATACAAATCTTAGAGAACCAAGCTGCTGGAACTAGGAGCTTTGAAGCTTGAAGGCAATGATTTTAGTTCAACAGAAAACCCAATAAATCCTGGCTATCAGGGAACAGGGCGTCCAGGAAACTCAAGCTTCTAGATAATCAAGGAATTATTCCTTTAAGCATCACAACCTATTTTTACTCTTTCAGGCAGAAACCTTCCTAAAATGTGGCACTTATTCCCCAAGCCTGCTGAAGAGCACACTTTATACCCAGGTCACCACCGTGCCCGAAGTGTGTACAGGAATCATCTCACATACCCTCAAGTCCCAGTGGCCCCTGCTGAATGACCCCAGGGCCCCATAATACTTTAGCTCTTGTCTCTGCTCTTTCAGAGTTCTTCTATCTTCTCTTTCCATCATTTCTGGGCTTCTTGTTCTTGTGACGTGACTTAGGACAGGTCGTGGACGCTGAGATAAGAATTTGAGGGCAAGCTGTTGGTTTGGGAGGTGATCCCAGGAATGCAGGGGCAGGGAACTGGGGATGTGACAGAAAAGGGAAGGTAGCCAGTGCAGCTGCATTACTTATAGGTGAAGTTACTTATCCCGGGGCCGCTGGGGCTCAGGGCACTGGGCCATCTACAAGACTGTGCAGGGCTGTCCCACACAACGGGTAGGGACCTAGATTGAATCCCCCCGATCCTGGCCATCATTCTCTGAGGGCGGGTCCCCTCAGCTTCCTGGCACTTCCAGAAGCCCGCAGGTGTCTATAGCAGGCAGCCAGCAGGACGCAGGGGAAGGTGAGTGTCCAGGGGACGTGGGTGACGACAGAAGCTCCTCCACACTGGCTCCGGTGCTGCCCAGAGTGCACCCCCCACCCTTGTTCTCACACCTGACAGAATTTGGGAATAAAGAAAGCAAACTAGACCATGAGTGAGAGCCTAAGGGACTCTCATCTGAGTAAAAGATATCTTTTCTGATTGCTCCACGGTTTTACTTTCTGACTTATCCTGGTCTTGGTTACATTCTTAAAAGGTGTTGTAAGACAACTGGCAATTTAAAGAAATTGAGAGGGGCACTCAAAAATATGCAATCAAGTTAATTTTTGAAGCTAAGTGAGAGTCCACACATGGCAGGTTGTATTAGGCAAACTCTCTGGAGATGAAAACTCACTTGTTCGTGTTACCTCAAGTAATAGGAACTGGCCAGAGCTCAGAAACAGTCAGTGTCTGAGGGGGCTACCGTTCCAAGAAGGATGTGAATGCAACTGGGGAAACTGAGGCAAAACCCAAGCATGCTGGTTTACCCACTCTGTGGGGCAGAGGCAAAGGGGAAACGGGTCAGTGGATGTGCGGGGTCCCAGGGCATGCTGGATGCCAGGTTCCAAATAAGACACATCCCCACCCTTTTGTCTTGTCTGGGGAAAGCGACTTGGTGAGTACAGGCTCAGACACTAGCAGGCAGTGGGGGGCATGTTCAAGGCATGCAAGATGGCAAGCTGAAGCTCCTCAGAACTGACATCTGAAGAGCTGGGACAGGCTGTCCTGACTTATTTAAAGTCATTTATCAAGTTCATGAACAGCCAGTACAAAAATCCAGGTGTCTTCACTCCACCACAGCAGAAATTACCCAATACTCTGTGGTCCAGAGGCAAAGCCAAGAAGAGGATGTGGGTTCCAGGAACACCAGGGCACACTGGCCAAAAGTCCCCATGAGGATAATTCTGGGGAGAAGAGCCTGACGCCAAGCCAGGGAGTCAAAACTTCCAGCCCTCGCAGCAAAGCACCCTGGTTCGCAGGAAGGAGACAGGCTTTGTGTCGGGGGGAGGAGGGGCGAGGAGCCCACATACCAGGGATGGGGCTGCAGCAAACAGACAGCCAGAGAAATTAAATGTAGGGTGAGGCAGGAAGCAGGGAGGGTGAAATGGGATGGACATGGGACAAACCCATCACTGCTTAGACTCTGGCTAGTTCTTCGTATTGATACGCATTGAGGGCTCTCATGTGCGATACATATTCAGGGCTCTCCTGTGCATGCGGGGCAGAGCAGAATAGTAAAGACGCAAGCTCTCAGATGCAAAAGAGGGCCTCGAGCTCCGGCTTGGGTGTAGTGGGTTTTGGGCAAGCATGGAGAAAGTCTTGTTGCAGCCAGTGGGACACAGGGGAAGAGCTGGGTGGAGGGTGACTGTGGATTTGGAAAGGAAAGGGTTAAATTAAGACACGTGGAAGAAATATCATTAGAATTTGATAGGACTGTGGATGCCGAAGTGGCAGTGAGACAAAAACCAGGAAACTAATTTGAAGACTAGGAGCCTGGGGAACCGGCAGGCTGTTGGCACGTTGGGTGACGATGGAGACCCTTGGAAGATGTGATTGTTTGGAAGTGAGAGTTGGTGTTGCTCTGACCCCACCCTCCACTCTGTATTTAGGAGAGGAGAGCATGATGGGGTTAAGATCTGGTGTCTGAGGCTGTCCTCTCTCCTCTGGGTCACTCCCTATTCCTGGTAGCTCTGGCGGCAATATCGCTGTGCTAAGGAAGGAGACAGGTGTCCCCTACACTTGCTTTCTGGAACAGAAACCCCATACTTCATCCCTGGACTTACCCACTTCATCAGGAGAAATTAAAGTATGAGTTACAGAAACGTGAAGGCTGAACTGAGTTCCTGGTCTCTTGACAATTATGTGACTTGACAAAATCCACATTGGAAGAAAGTAATACAGAATTTGGAAGGATAGAAGAATGCAAATAAACCAACTAGAAATGCGGTGTCGATGTGTCTGCTGAGAGGAGGATTAGTTCATTTGAACAAGGTTACCGTGACTCAAATATTGGATTGTAATGATGTTATCCTGAAAGAGTTTCAATAAATCTAAGCACTCACGAATGTCTAGATAACACAAATTTGGAAGGATCTAAAAACCAGCTAAGATCGATAAACAGCCAAAAGAAAAAGTTACTGAAACACTGGAAACTCCCATGGGATGATGTGTGTTAACGGTTTGAACTAAAATAAATAGTTTGATATTCTTGGCTACGGGAGGATTTCCCAACATTGCCATACTGTTTGAGGTGTTAAGATGCTCATATCCACAGTCGAGAGGCCAGGGACAAAATAGAGATAGGCCCAGGGGTCCTGTCAAGGGGTGACATTAATTTATGGCTTTCTTCAGAGAATGATCAAAGGTTTACGGCAACCAGGAATCAGATCCAGTTCTTGAAAGATTCTTCCCTTAGAAGTGTTGATGGCTTCAACCAGGCAGATTGGCTTCGAACACAGAAGGGAGGGATCAAGTAAAGAACAACGCTAATGGACAACTTGGTGGGATGGAAAATGTTGGCTAGAGACGAGAAAGGAATGGAAAATTTGAGAATCCAGAAGACAAAGGGAGGAGGTGAGGGGAGGGAAGGGAACGAAATGAAGTTGTTGATGAGATGAAGAAATTAAAAAGAGAGGTTGGTCAAGTCTTGCTTTTGATGATTCTATTCCAGGTGAAGATGGGCTCTGAAACATTGGTATGAAGGAGGTGAGAAGAGGGGAAAGACCAGTACTGGGGAAAGAGCTTTGAGAACTGAAGGCAGAAGCAGCTTGAAAACTGGATGTAGCAAAGGTGAGTATATGGTCTATAAAGGAGCGTGGAAGTAGGATGGGTGTCCTGAATGAGGGCTGGAGACCTGAGTTCTTGTCCCACTTCTGCCCCTGACTGTGGGCAAGCCATTCCATCTTTCTGGTCTTGTTTCTTTATATCTAAAGCAATGGGGTTAGACTAGCTGACCTTGAACATTTCCTCACTCTTCTACAGCCCTCAATTCAACATAGATGTTATGAAATCTCAGACTTACAGAAACAGAATCTTCCAGATTGGAACATGCATTTAGCTTTTTCTAAGTAGAAAATGCTTTGAAGGGAGGGAAAAAAGATTCCACTCAACACTTGGAGAATAGTGTTTGTTCTGTAAAATAATTAGCAAGTAAGCATTATTGAACCAGGTTGTCACAAAATCACAAGACAATTAAAGGAGAAAAAAGAATTTAGGAGACTCCATTTTTCCTCCCATAGATGAGAAGAGTGATTAACATAAACTAGGAGTGGATGGTTAATAAAGATATATGCAGGAGGAGAGAGCTAACGTCAAATGAAAAGAGTGCTGGTCTAGCAGTCAGGAGCCTTGAATTCTAGTCCCAGCTCTGCCACATCCAGGATTTGTGCACGTCATTTCCCTTCTGTGCCCAGCTTCCAAAGGAATGCTAAAGATAGTGGACTCCAGCCTCCCACCATACGTTCATCCACCTGTAATCATTAAAATACTCTTTCTTCTTTCTGTGTGTCACACTAATAAGGTCCAACTAGGAAAGAAGAAACTATCTTATATTTTTCCAATGGAGTAATACAGAGAACTGACTACAGAGGTGATGGAAGAGCTGAGAAGGCAAACGGAGGACAGTGAGGCAACCTAGATATTAGCAACAGCAGGAAGTCACTGCCACCCTGGGCTGGAGGAACAAAAGGGAAGAGGTGCTATTTATTATTGGAGCCCAGAGGCTGTGGTCACCTGATGGAACCTGGAACCACAGTGGATCCATCTGGTGGCAGCTGGAGCCATGGAGGAGAGGCAGCCACTGTCAGAGGTGCCGAGATCTGAGGGAGGGAGGATGGGAGAGAATATCCCAGCTATTCCTTCCCTTGCTCTCCAGTCTTCTGCCAGTGCCTCGCACTGGCTGGGTCCAGCTAGAAACCAACTGGCACAGGAGCTGGCAAATGCAGCCTGCAGGTGTCAGCCCATCTTCCATACAGAGCAGGGAAAGGGCAAGGAATGGATCTGAGGACAGGCAGGCCAGGACTGGCACAAGATCCGAATTCTACTTTCCTTTTTTTTTCCTTCTTTTTGGTGAGGAAGATTATCCCCGAACTAACATCTATGCCAATCTTCCTCTATTTTGTATATGGGATGCCTCTGCAGCATGGCTTGATGAGCAGTGTGTAGGTTTGCACCTGGGATCTGAACCTGCGAACTCCGGGCCACCGAAGCAAAGAGAGTGAACTTAACCACTACGCCACCAGGCCGGCCTCCAATTCTACCTTCTTATAACGTCTACCTATTAGTCCTGCATCAGGCTAGAGTCTAGGTCTTCACACTTTTGAGGACATCCATGCTACCATGCCTTGTTTGCTTTCTCCCCTAGCCTGACACTCAAACTTTCTCATACAGAATGGTTTCCAAACCTCCTTCATTGTCCTGGTTCCTGTCCTCTGAGAGCAACCTGGTAGGTCTCCTTAAAATGTGGCACCAGATGTTCATAAGACCCCAGCTGTCCATAACACCAGGAGGTGTTAACACAGAAGGACTATTCCTGCCCTTCCTGTAGCAATGCAGCTGTTATTCCACTGTTTATTCCACTGCTGACTGATGTTGGCTTTATGGACAACCAAGACCCACATATCTTTTCCATGTGACTCCAAGTCTTCCCTGACCTGCCATAGCAGAGTCATCTACATATTTGATAAACACAACCAAATTCATCCTCTAAATTATTGATTAAAAAAAATAAGTAGAATACATCAGAGCCAAGGATAGAGGTCTGTGTCACTCCACCAGAGACCTCCACCCAAGTTAAGGGAGAATCGTGAATCGTGGCTCACTGGGTAGGGTTGTTCAACCAGCTCCAGATCCACCTCACAGCAAGGAAATCATGCAAGAACTTCATCAGAGCCTTTACTTAAATCACAACCTACGGCATCTGCGGCGGTCAGTTCCCTCCACTTTGCACCTGAAGCACAGAGGGTGCTCAACTAATACTTGCTACATTGAAGTTGAATGAAATTATCTTGATTTATACACCTAATGGCCCTGTTTAAAGAAAGTTAAGATGGTCATTTTAATGGGACATGATCATGAACCCATGTTGGCTGCTGGTGATCATCGTTTTCTTCTTTAAATGTTTATAAATCTGTTTGTTCCAGATTTTTGCTAAAGAGCAACAAAAATGATACCAATCTGTTATTCCTGGAATCCACTCCTCTCTTCCTTTTGAAAACTGGGGCAATACCGCCGCTATCCAGTCTTTGGGAACTCTCCTGTCTTCTTGAACACTATAAGGATGCTAGTCACTACTTAAGCCTGGGTCTTGACTCTGGCTTCTCCCCAGTGGGAATAATATTTCCCCTTTCCATGCCACAGACCTGTAGAAGGATTCAGGAAGATGGCAAGCCACTGGGCAAGGCTAAAACAGTCACTTAGGGTACCCACATAAGAGACGTATGGATCCTCATAAGAACAGCTCCAACACAGCACAGTCACATCCCGCAGCCCCCACAGTGAATGCCACAAGAGGGACCAGACCCCATATGTGATCATAGGCTGAACCATCCTGGTCCTGCTGTTTCAAAGGCTTACAAACAACCCCATAGAAACTGGGCTGGAGCAAAACAGAGATTTGGTCCATAAAGCCAATTTCTTCTCTCTCCCTCTTTCTCTTCCTCCTCCCTCTTTCTCAATTTCCTTCTCTCCCTGAATAGAGTCACTATAACTGCATTAGCTGCTCAGGAAGCTGTCCTGTAGGCAGCTCATGAGGGCAGAAGCTAAGACACTGGGAGAACAGCCTGATGCCTAAGTTGCCAGCCTCATCCCCCCACTGCCTCCCACAAAGTGTCTGGACTTGGACAGGGCTGTGCAGAGGACACGCTGCCCACAAAGCAAATGGGAAGACAATTTTCCACTCCTCTCCTCCACCTATAGAAACCCCCTCTGGACTCAACTGATGTTTGGTAAATGCAAGAATGAACTAAAATAACCCACCCTCTGCCAAGGAGGGATCATGCCCATGAAAATTCTTGATCACCTTAAAGTCTTGGGATACATACAGCAATTGTTTTGTTAGCTACAATTTCCATCTTATTTCTCTCTCCCAAGAACAAATGAAGCTGCTAAAGGTTCACAGACATTGATTAATGATGTGCACAAAGATTTAGACATGAGGATGTTCACTGATGCTGTCTACTATAGCAGAAAATTGGAAACAACCTATATGCCCAACGATAAAGGATTGTTTAAATACATTCTAGTACACCCAGACAATAGGTATGTGCAGGTATGATTAAAACCCATATTGTCAGAGAGCAGATGGAATGACGTTCACAACATATTGTTAAAAGGAAAAAGCAAGTTACGAAAGTGGAATGCTATACACACAAAGAGGAAAAATTTTCAAAAGGTATGTTAACAGTTATTTCAACTAATGGAATTATGAATGGATTTTTAAATTTTCTTTCTTTTTGTTTATATGTACTTTCCAATTTTTCTGCAGTGATGTGCGTTGCTTTTGAAATAAGGAGGGGGGGGCACCATAAAACTTATTTTTGCTAGCCAGAAAGAAATAGGAAAAGCCCCTCTTTCAAGCCTGTCTGCCGGCTTGTTCTGCCAGATGGTTATGAAGCCAGCTCAGACCGCGCTGTCCAGCTTGCCCAGAGCCCCTCTGGGCAGAAGCTCCCTTGGTGCCAGCATCCACCCTGAGACAAGTTATTAAAAATGGGGCTGTCCTGGCCAACCTTTCACCGAAAGTACCAAGGGCCACTTCAGCCCAGAGAAAGGGCAGTTCCAGAGACCGGTGGAGTTCTGAAGCCGAGCGGCAACCCTGGCTTTGCGAGATGAACCTCCCCCCTCCCGGCTGCCTGCCGAAGGTTTGCAGACAGCTCCCTTCCCATCCCACAGGAGGAGACAGGCAGATGAGTCATAGCACTGGCTCAGATTAAAGGCGTATTATTGCCTTAGCAGAAATGGATCTATTTTATTATCTGTTTCTTGACACCTTACAAATAGATATGCTTGTCCCAGCAGACAGGCAAGTTCCTTAAAAAGCCAACGATGTCGTTAGCCTAAGCTAAGAAACAACCAAGAAGAGTTAGAAATTTGCGCATCTGAAGAGCAGCCAGGCTGAAAAGATGTAGTGGAAACACTGAGGAAAGTGGTTTATAAGCCTCAGCCTCTAGATTCAAGTCTGCGAAGTGATGCCATACTTCTAAAAATATACAGAGGAACTACGGAAATCCTTTCCTCTTTTCTAAGAGCTTTTTCTTTCCTTCTTTCTCTTAAGAAATATACTAGGATGGGTTTGCAAAGGAGATTCCCCACCTCAGATTTCACTGTTTTCAGAGAGGTCGTGGGGGACTATTTTAAGGACTTCCTTCTCTTATACAGATTTTTCCACACTGGGAGGACAGATAAGGTACGTTCCACTAATGTTCCTCATTAAACACACACGCGTGCCAGCAGTCATTTCCCCTTGTCTTGCTATCCCATGACAACAGACTGCACATCATAGGAAATTGGAATGGAAACCTTATTTAGTTTGGATCTCTCTTCTCCATTGTTTAATTTCACATTCAATTTTTCTTTCTCTGTCTGCCTCCTTTTGCAGAAATATGCTATGACTGAATACAGGCACAGATAAATGAATAGTGTCGCTTGTCTGAAGACTCACCTCATAGGCTTTTCAGGAGCACTTTGACCAGCACACCTCTCCCCCCACCCCCCATCATTTTATCTCTGGGCAGAAATGTGCTCGATACTCACTGAAGACAATGACTGATGGGCCTATATGTGTCTTCAATGTGCGCTCCCGGTACTGGGTTCGCTGTCGATCAAGTTCCAGTAGATCTTTTCTGGCTGTGAGGCATAGACGCCTCAGTGGCATTTCTGTTTCCCTCACTCTTTAACCCATACCACCTGTCCGCTGACACAAACAAACAGAAATAAAAAAGCTTCCACCAAGTGCCAGGAAAGGAGGTCTAACGGAGCAGAGAGAGTTTCACATTTCCTGTTGTTGAATCTCGGCTTGGCCTGTAGAGCAAGCTGGATGCCTTTTCAATCCAATACGCTCTGTTCTCTGACGCTATCACCCTTGTTTTTCCTTAAGACTCCAAAGCTATGATGGCAACCTTATAAAAGGATCCCAGCTATTTGTTCTTTGAGCACCAACTTTTATCCAAACGTTGCTGTTACTTTTTTCTTTTCATTTAAAAATGTAATTTTAAAAATATTTTGTTTTTCTAGATGGGATCCACTAGATCTAAGAACTCATGTTCTTTCCATTTATCAAACAGCAACTGTGTGCCAGGCATTGGGTAATCACTTCCACACTGGATATTTCACCTACTCCCTTCCAGCCACCCTATGAAGGAGCTGCCAACACATGAGGAAACTGAGGGAGGGTAAGCCTTTTGCCCAAGATCACACATCTAGGACGAGGCTCTTTTGATGGTTCCATGGAAACCCATCCAACTTTTTTCAACTAAAGTCCGTGAGTTTGGTGGTCCAGACAACGTTTTCTGAGAACACAAAGTGGAGCTGGACGGGCACTCTGTGAAGCCCCTGCCTTCACTAAAGGAGGCAGCCCTCAGGGAGCCGAGAGGCCAAACTCACTTGTGCCACCACCCCGTTCAGGCTGGGAGCAGGTCTGGACATCAGACGGCCCTGATTTCAAGGCTCAGCTCCCCCACTTCCTGGACCTGAGACCACAGGAAAGTTACCTGCTCTCTCTGAGACTCCACTGCCACCTCGATAAAACAAGGATAACAATATATATAAGTTGAATTATATGAAATTGCCAACTTTCAACCATTTTTGACCTCCGAAAAAGCATTTCCAAATAGTCCAACCTAAAGTCTTCACTGAGTCACTGTACAGATTCAACAAGTGTACACAGGAAACAATAAAAGGCACTTTTTAGGAGACTTTCTCTTCCAGACTTCATTTCGCTAAGGTCAGTAAAGTTAGTTTGCATTCTCTGCGCACACTTCGCACGCAGCGAAGCCAGCCTGAGGTTATATAAGTGTTGGAGATGACAATTCAGGGAGACAATAAGACTATGTGGATAATCAAGAATCAACAACAAAGGATCTCCTGAGGCCTTACTGCTCCTGTATTTTCCCCCTAATTTAGTCTCTTAATTAATACATTTACAAATACCTTTTTTTTTTTTAGAAAGTGGAAGGCGGCGGGGGAGGGGGTATGGAGGAAGTTTAGCACTCTGTATTAAAAACAAAGAAAAGGTTTTAAAGTCACTTCTTGCCTCTTGAGGGGCGGGCGCGGTGGCCGGGCTCCGTCCTGGCAGGGCGGGTCCTGCCCTCGATGCCAGCGAGGGCTCCGAGCCCTCGGAACCGGCCCCGCCGCCCTGCCCCAACCCGCCGCGCCCACGCCGGGGAAGAACCGCCAGAGCGCGCGCTGTCGGCCGCCTGGTGTTTACCTCCTCGCCAGGTGCCAGGCCCTGCCCTTGGCCCCTCACAGGCATTATCTGATTGACTTCCCACCCAACACTGCGCACAAAAGGGGACTGTCATTTTCTCCACTTTCCAAGTGAGGAAACAGACACCGAGAGGTTGAGTCACTCGCCCAAGGTCTCCGAGCGCTGGAGTGGGACTCGAACCCCGGCAGCCCCAGGCCTCCCACTGGGAGCGTCTCCTTTTCCTACTTAGGTGCAGGCGCTTTTTCGCCTTCTCCAAACTTGGCCGCACGCAAGGGAAGAGGCCTCGCCGCCCCGCACGACCTCGCCGCGCTCAGCAAGTTCAAGGCTGCGGGGGGCGGGCGCGGGGCGCGGGGCGGCGGAGCGGCGCCGCCTCCCGGGATTTAACCCCAGTCTGGAGTCCGCGGGGCGCGGGACGCTCCCGCTCCTCCCAGCTCGCGCCTCCCCCTCCTCCCAGCCGTCTCCCGGCGCGCCCCACCCTCCGCCCCGCGCTCGCCTCGCGCGCAGGCACCGGCCGGCGGGCGCGGGGAGCAGGGAGCGGGGCGCGGGCGGCGCTCGCCTCTGCGGAGCCGCCCCCCGGCCGCCGCCGCGCACTGCCCGGCCCTAGCCGCCCGTGCTGCCTCCCCGGCCGTCCGCACCGAGAGCGCCGCGGCAGCTCCAGCCCGGACGCCGGCCCGAGCGCCCCGCAGACGGGCGGGCGGCCGTGGACGCGCGGCCAGCAGCCCGCAGCATGGATTCGGATTCCGGCGAGCAGAGCGAGGGCGAGCCCGTGACCGCCTCAGGTACCGAGGGGCCGCGGCCACCCGGCGGGGAGGGCTGGGGCCCGAGGAGGGGAGGCCGGGGCAGGAAACCGCGAGTATTTCTCGGCGCTGCCGGGCGGGAGGCCGATCCCCAGCAGCGCGATCCCTTCCAGGCCGGGACTGGGGACTGCTCCGCGCCGGGAGTTTGCTCTGGGGCTTTCTCCCCCGTGGCACTTGGGCGCGCGGGAGGGAGAGGAGGTGCATCTGCGGAGGGCTCCCAGCGCCGCCGGGCTCCTGCTGCGGGTCGGGTGGCCCGGGCCGGGTGGGGGCGGGGAAGGGTTCGGGAGATGCGCGTCCTGTAGTCTGCTGCAGCGAGGGTTGCAACACGTCTGCCCTTTGAAATAACTTTCCGAGCGCCAGCCTAGTCCTCGAACCCGAGGCTCCCGGGATGCTGCGGAACAGGTGACCCCGTCCGAGGGCGTGACAGGGGACTCTGGGAAGGAAAGACCCCGCGGGTGGACGAGCAGGGGTCAAAGCTCAGGTTGTGGCTGCGGGTCCCAAGCCTGCTAGACGAGCCTGTGCAGAAGCGTTCGCCCTTCGCCGCCGGGGCAGACGGAGAAGGTCCCCGCGAGGGGGTCCCGAACGCAGGCGCGGGGGCGCGCGGGAGCCGGGCTTCGCCTGGAAGAGGCGCCGCCGGCTTCTCGCAATCGATAGTTATCGAAGCGATGGGTGGAGGCTTACTTAGGAAAAATGAACGTCCTCCCCCGCCTCTCCCTGATACTGAGCAACAGGAGGAAGCCACCCACAGCCTTGGGTCGACTTACCTCCGGGCTCTGCCCACCTCCACCGGCCCGCTCCGCCTGCCGCCCACGGGTCCACGCACCGGAGACCCGCTCGCCCTCCTGCCGGCCCCGTGCGGCCCTGGAAGCTAGTCCTGTGACCTGAGAGCTGGGACCCTCCTGGTACAGACTGGAGGTCCCGGACTAGTCTCCATTCTTTGCAATGTCAGACCAGAGTCTTGAGTGTGGAGACCAAGGGACAGGAGGTACCATCAGCCGTGGCGTGGGTGTAGGAAAGGCAGGCTCAGGAACCGGGCAGGACAGCGCCAGGCTCTGTGCCAAGGGCCTACATATATTATTCCCCTTCATCCTTACAGCTCCCACCAGGTGGCTGTCTCCATTTGACAGAGGTTCAGAGAGGCTAACTGGCTTGCCCACGTCTCACAGCCAGGGAGTAGCCGAGGGCAGAGTGACTCCCTTTCCACTGCATCATACGCCACAGCCCCTCACAGGGAGGCTGTGGTCAACACCTTGGGATGGGTGGGAAGGAAAGGTGGCATCGCCAAGATGCGTGTGTATGAGGATTCCTATGTGTTGTGCAAGAGCCACCTGCTTTGTGTAGGTGTTTGTGGATATAATTAATAAACATGAGCGCCTTGCCTACCTGTATGTTTCTGTGACTATGAAGCACCAAGATTTTGTTTCACAGTTGGCTTGTGGATCTCCTCGCATCATTTAAAAGTTCCATTGGTGTTTGTGTGTATCTAAGTATATCTCCAGAGCTCAAACGGAGGAGGGACATTGACACTGACCCTTTACTCTCTCAGAATCCCAGGAACTAACATACTCTCCCTGCCCCCACGCTCAGATTCATGCGGGTTGATGGAGAGGGGGAGGAGGACACTGAGGTTTAAAAAAAGCCAGGAGGAGGAGGGGAGAAACTCTCCAAGAAGATATGGTACTTGGGTGGAAGGGGAGGGAAGGGGTTCTTAAGGGCCTTGTGGCTTCTCCCCGAGCCTGCCCAGCATGGAGTATCGGCCATAGGGCTCATGTCCGTTTGTGTCGAAAGGCCTCTGCACAACTAACAGCAAACATTACCCCTGAGAGCACATAGGCCCGATGAAGAACAAGGCAGCCCGCTATCTGATCTGTCACCATTCGTTTGCACCTTACAGTTTCCTACAGTCGTTTCTTCTTCTTCGTGTTCTTGAATCTCACAAGTTGAACATTTATTTGAATGTCACAAGCCATTCTGCTAAATGACATTCAGTCTCACTCATTTTCAGTCTGAAAGTATTCTTCATGACCAAGCTTCAAAACTAGATGCTAATTTATCACCTTGCTGTGGCTGCTTCCTGTCCAATGGAAACCTTTATTGCAGCTTCAGATACCTGCTAGATAACAGGTATGTTATCCATAGAGGTTGACCTTTGTCCCTATAAAGAAGGTGGCATGCATCTGTGGACCTGTATCTGTGCAAGCTGGATGGGTTTGTAACTGAGAAGGACAGCAGAGTGAGCGGGGTCTCTTGGAGTATCCATGTGTGTGTCTGTGTGTACCTACTTCATAGGGGGTTGAGATGGAAGGGCTGCGTCCCCTCGATGCCCTTCCCTTCCTGAACTTGTAAAAAAGCCCTGCCATCAGGAGGACCTTATTAAGGTTGAGAGCCTGGACTCGGATCAGAAAGACCTGGGTTCCACTCTGCACCTGATGGGCCTGTTACTTAACCTCTCTGATCCTCGGTTTCCCCATCTGTAAAATGGGGATGACAGTCATACCACAAGGGGGGGTGTAAGGATTAAATAAAGTGACACATGAAAAGTGTTCCTGGTAATCGTTCAGTAAAAGGTAGCTGCTATTTTGATTATCACCTGATTGGATTATTGGTTGTAAGTATCCTGCTAAATAATGTACCCCAGTGCTTTGTAAGATATAAATCGCTAGGCACGTGTAAAACAATTCATATTGTTGTCATTATAATCACATTAATTTAATTGCCTAAGGAGATTTGCTTTGAACTTTCTCCTTTCCACTCTCTCATTCTCTCTCTGGTATGTGTGTGTGCGTTTGCATGTGTGTTTGTTTGGGGCAGGTTATTTTTACCTTACCTCTTCTCATCCTCATCATCTACCAGCTCACGGTATGCACATGGGGACATTCAAACCCACTGCTTTCACCGCCTTTTCCTCCCGCTCCAGGGAAAGTTGTGAAAAGCAGAGAACGCCTGACCCAGTCTACCTGCTAACCTGGAGACTGGTCACTTCCATGGCACTTCTAGTAGATGAAGAGGGAGTAACCCCACCACCCCACCCCCCCCAGCAAACCTTTTCCCTTCAGGGTAACAGGAGGTACAGGAGGGACTCCCCATTCTCCTTTCCATTTTTGCCCATTTCAGTCACGCTCCTGGTCACAAATTGGCAAAGGAGTGAGGAAATCTCCGAGGACCACCTGCTCCTTTACTGTGCTCCTTTCAAGAGACTTTCCCAAAGGTCCCTGAGTGCCCGCTGTGCACTCAGTTCCCTGCATAGGAGGGCGAAGGAGGGCACGAGGTTTGTCTCTGTCTGCGTTGTCTGTTTTTCAGGAAGCACAGGATGATGCTTCTGTGTCGTTCTGCTGCCTGCAGCTCTCCTCTGCCTTTCTGTCGTTTTATGGTTCTTTCTATGATTAGGAAAGAGGCAGGGTTTGTGGAACACTGGATTCTTTCCAGAGACCCAACTTGGCAGTCTCTCCTTTGGCAAACCCACCATCCCTCAGAAATCCCAGAGTTTGGTGTGTTAACTCAGCAGTGACTGAGAGTCTTTCCCAAGAAGCAACAAGCGAGTAAACATTAGCGGTGTCAACTTTTTTCCTTTTCTGGCTTGTAAGACCGAGATAGTCTACCAGCTGAAGGCAGATAAGCTCCTTCACCCACAGCTTGATGGTCCAGGGCAGTCAAGATGGTGGCGTGTCCTTGCGGCTGAGTAGGAACAGCAGAAAAGCATTTCCATGTGATGGAGTCAGGATGTGGGAGGGGAACTTCAAGACAATAGAAGAAGTGGGAAAACAGCAGGCCCCTAACTTTACCTTCTTGTCCTTCCCATCCCCTAGGTCCTAAGCTTGGTCTGTGTCAACAGAGTGGCCAGGAGTGGGTAGGATTAAATAGGTGGCCAAGAGGAGGAAAGGCATTCTAGAAGACAGACAACCATGTAAGCAAAGGCTCAAATAAACAGAGAGGTGACTGGCATGGAGGGCATTACTAGGAAGTACTGGGAAGTAAAACCAGATGAGTATAGGGAGGGCCAATTATAAGAGGATCTTAACTTGGTCCTGATGCTGCCTGAGGAGCCCCTTTAGGCTGATTGTTGAGCACAGATGTGACGATGGAGAGCTGGGTTTTCAGAAGCCACATCTGGCAGACATGAAGTGCAGGCATTGCCTAGGCTTGGAGCCTCCGATACCAGGGTGTGGCCACAATATCGAAGCAGGTGGTAGCACTAAGGCGGGCAGAAGAGGAAGGATGCAAATGCCATTTCAGAGAAACAAACAACAGAAGTTGGTAACAGATTGTACAAAAGCAGTGGAAGGAGAGGGAGAATGGAAGGAGACTGGCGTTTTGAGTTGGGGTGAGGGCAGGGGGAATACTGGCTCCCCCACTGACTAATGCTTCCCAGCCCCTCTTTCCATCAGGCACTTAGCAGTGATGTTTTGCTTAAAGGCACTTTTAGAAAGTAAATCACGCCAGGGCATTGGTTTCGGGGGATTATGAGGTTCTGGAGTTTATTGATTCTCATTGTTAGATTCCTTGTGGAGGCTATTTAGTGACCTTGTCATCTGACAGATTGACAATTGATGGACCGGACAACCGAGGGCAGGGACCGCCTGGGGATGATGTACCACTTGGCTATTAGTCATAGTCCCATGTCTTGTTCCTGTTGGTGGACATCTGCAGGGGCCTCTGCCTCATCCGCACTGGGCTGTTGCCACTTTGAGGGTCAGGACCTTGTCTTGTGCTTTCATGTTCCAGAGATTTTATGGACATAATACATGAATAAGCATCTTGCGGAGCCTCCTGAGAACTCTGCGCTAAAAGGCCAGAGAGGCAGCCAGAAACCTGTCCTATAACGTGGAACTGCCAAGGCTTTCCTTCAGTGTTTTGTTTTGCTTCAGTGTTTTAAGATTTCTTGTACTGTCTGGGAGTCTGTGTTGGGAAGTATGGGGAAGGTGAAGAGAGATAAGGACACCATCCATCCTGTCCTCCAGGGCTTGAGATCAGATGGGAAGATA